GCGAAACGGATTTTCTTAGAAGAGGGCGCAGCCTCAACGCACAGGAACCCAACTAGTGAGATATTTGACGGGGGGTGCCAAGACGTGCGGCGCGAACCTGAGAGTTTCGCGATATTTGGACGTGACGAAAAGGAAACTGAGTTCGTCCCGAGCCAAGATGAGTCTTGCATTGGAGTCTCTTTTGGTCTTCTCAGAAGAAGCACATCGAGGAGACCACGGAGGTGGTGAAGAGGTCTGGTTTGAGTACAGTGATGTCAACTCGATGGAGTCCGACGACGAGTTGACTCTGCTGAACGCCTTCGAGAGCAAGAGCCTATCATAATAGTGCGTATCATCAGTACTAGCACATGGTCAGACCGACAGGAGAATAACGTGGAAGCGCAACAAATATTACAATGGCAGCTGAAGGTCGACCGCAAGTATTTCCAGCGACCCCTTCCTGTTCCAGGGCCTTCCGAGACAAAGCCAGTCGCTGGGCGAGACGGCAGAAGGCATCGGAGTCAGTGGATGCAAGTTCGAGATCGCAAGCGCAGACTTCAGCTCGCCGAGATCATGAGTTGAACGCGATGCCGAAAGTGTCACCAGACGGGGCACTGGGGAGACGAGTGCCCACCCCCCCTGCACCCCCGCGGCCGCCAGTGACCGGCTTCATCTTCCTGAGCGACGGAGTCGGCGATTGCGGCGCGACGTGTCTCTCTCTCTCTCTCTCTCTCTCTCTCTCCATTCTCTCAGGGAGTCCGAGGAGATGATCGATAGAGCTCGTGGCCAGACGCCCAAGGAGCCGATCTCGGCAGGTCCGCCGCAGATGGCAGCGGGGCGGCTGCCGACCCCAAGAGTTCCGCTGCGACTGGCAGCGGGGCGTCAGCAGGCCCCGCCCAGGACCCTGGTGATCGACGCGGCGGCAGGTCAGGGACTCGTGGGAGAAACACATGACCGATTGGGACTCCGAGCTGAGGCGAATGGGCTGCAGATCGGTGCGACTGCCCCCCGAGCATCATGCTGCCCTCGACATCGCAGCAGTGCAGATTGTAATCGTGTTTTCGGTCCCGCGGGTATTGAGGAGCGCGTGGGGGCGTGGGGGATTGATGTCATGGGCACCAACATCCGCCCGTCATGTCAGCTCTCTTTCAGGATATCCTGAGAACCCGCATCGGCTTTCCTGTCAACCGAGTGTTCTTTTTCGAAGAACTGGTGTGCTCGACGGACCTGGTCCGCCTTCGTTCCGGACGCATTCACTTGTGCGTAAATGGGTTTGTTCCCCCCGGACCATTTCGAGTGCTCGCCAGAGCTCCCGAAGGAGTATCCGCGTCAGCGTGCAGACAGTTTCCGAGCGAGCGCGAGGGAGGAATGCATTGTGTTCGCATCCTCAACCGTCTGTCCCCCGCAGGCTCCCAGCGGGGGCTCCAGAGGCTCTGGGGGGAAGTTCAAGGGTGAGTTCGCTTTGCTTGAGCGTGATTCTTCTACGGCTCCTTGCATTTTCCCTGATGTCTTCTCGCGATATCTTCTCCGCCCGACCGCGGGCGGCGCCGACCGACCGACGTATCCGCGACGAGACGGCGTGGCCAGATCCATGTAAATCCCACTATTGGGCCACTGGGGAAAATGCACTCAGTTGCGTGCGCCGCGTTCTTCGGGATCCGTTACGTTCGCCCCGAAACTTGCTGGACCTTCCAGTTCCGGTTGGTACCTTGGCCACCCGAGCGTGTTTCGTGGATGGTGGGCTATTCGGGCAGTGGTGTTTGAACGAGAGACGAGTGGCGCGCGGTGCCATCCGGGGTCGTCGAGCCTTCTGAGTGGGTCGGGTATCCCGATGTCTTCACCGCAGTGGGCTCGCCGCTGCAGCTACGACTCGAGAACCTCTTGAGAGATGTGTGCATCTCGGCTACCGTCTCAGCCGATCGAAGCATCTGGTCGGCGCCAGCGAAGCCGCCGCGGAGAGTGCGACTTGCTGGGAGAGCCCAGCCACAAACAACTGGGCGTACCTGGTCATCTTCGCGTTCATGATCGCAGCGGCGAGGTCGATGGACTTCCTGCGTTACATGGTGAACGATCGCCTCTGTGCCATGCGCGCGCTCAAGCGCGTGGGGCGTCTCAACGCACGGCAGCCAGACTGCCCTCGCCCTGTCTCGTCGCTGGAGACGTGCAGCAGCGGGCGCTGTCGCTGGTGGAACTGCACGGAGTGCGAGCTGAGGATGGGTTACTGCGACGTGAGGGGTTCTCGCATCTTAGCCAGGCTGGAGGAGACCTGTGACTTTATCCCCCTGCCGATAGACCGTCAGAGGGGCCGAGGTCGGGGATTCCCCGGGCCTGTCGGAAAGTCAGGACCAGCAATGTGATGCTGTTGGGAGGTGCGATGATCCCAGATCGTAGATGAGGGTCGACCCCAGCGAGGTTTCGAAGCAGGTAGGTTGCGCCCCGCCGCCGGCCAAGCGCCGCACCAGCGAGGGAGGCTCGGCTCAGACGGTGCTTCAAGTCGAGCAGCTGAAGGGGTCGCAGGACC